AGGGGTGGAGGGTGGTGGAGTTTGTGAGGGAAATCAGGGCCTTGTCTTACTCAAGAGGTAATTGGAGAGTGCAATTTAGGTGCAGTGCATATGGGTTGAGATGCCCTTTTCAAAAAGCTCATTTGATGTTGAAATCTGTACTCTCTTAATTTCTAAAAACTCCCAAAAAGAAATTAAACAAAATGTGCACTTTTTTTTTCTCTCTCATTTTTGGAGCCAACGTGTAGATTTTCCAGAATATACCTTACTTCTCTCATGTTTTTATGTTAGGTCCAATTCAGAAAAAGAAATTAAAAAGTTTGTACTATAATGTTACTATATATTGAACATTTATAATCCTATATTCCTTCTTTTTGCTCTTACAAAATTCCCTCCTCCACTAGTCCATGTATTATTTCCTTTTTTTTTAATCAATCAGTCAACAAAAGTACTATAGAAAACATGACAATCACTATTAAAGGCAAAAGATTTTCCCTTTAGGAATATGAATAAACTTTATTAAAATATATATCTGAGAAGAACTAATTAAAAAGTTAGTGCGATCAAATCTTTGGAAAAAAAAAAGACTAATTAGTTCGGGAAAAAAACATATCTGCTTTTGCACATTTTCTCTTGGACATTTAAAAGCAAATGAATGCATATATTTATTCTCCCTTTCCTTCTTTTTTTATATATGTAATATTTATTAAATTATTAGTAATAAATATTAAAATTTAAATTCATAACTGTTAGTAAAATATAATATATTCAACGATAAAAATATAAAAGTTAAATTCATCACATTTAAATTTTTGTTCGCATCATTATTTCATAACTTCTTTTGGAGTGGGGAGAGATCTGACTATTTTAGATGTCTATTTCGTGTCATAGTCTATTTTTTATTTTTTGTTAAAAAAATAACAATCTTTTTAAATAACCTTATCTTTTTTTGGTTAAATTGACCTAATGTTTATGAAGAGCTTTATAGACCTTATAATCTATTTAATGAGGAACTCCTGAAGAATGTTAGTCTCTGGATTTTGTGCCCCTAAAGAAAAGAAGAAAGATACAGAAATATGATTTTGTTTATTAAAAATGTCGGAAATTGCGGTGACAAGCCACAACTATTAATTATATATATTTCTGAAATGGTCCATAAACACAGTATATATTAATTCATAGGTTAATAAGATCAATTATGATTTCGAAACAAAATTAAAACGTGTCAATTGTTGTTGCTTTGCTTTTTCTTTGGATTTTCTTAAGTAGCAACTGTAAGTACGCATTAATTAAGCGCCCCCGATTTCTCTCTCTTTTCCCATCAGTCGCAGCTTTCAAGAAAGGAAAATCAATCATCATGACATTTCACTAACACCCTTTTCTTTCCTGTACTCAACCGTCAAAATCTCTTCTTTTTAATCCTCTGAACCATCTTCTCATGTCTTCATTGTTCTTATCGCTCAGAAACCCTTCTTCAAAAATTCTCCAATGGCTAAACACTTCAAGAATCCCTCTGCCTCCACAAGAAAAAATACTCGTTCTAAGGGAAAACCCTCTTCTCAACCTCCAGAACAAGTAGACCTAGGGTCTGACCACTCATAAGGATTTGCCTCTTCTCAGGCAGAACCATCTAACCACTCTCATCGAATTGGAGAAAAAGCTCTTGGCAAAAGACATATGGAAGACCCCCTTGAATCTTTTACCCCCAAGAAATCCAACGTAGACCTCTCGAGTTTTTTAGAGACCGATCTCAATTTCTCGGATACCCAAAATAGAGATTTCTTTGTTGCTCTCAAAGACAAACCCATTGCTCACGGCAGAGTAATCGATCTTGATGACATAGGGGGCCTTAATTGTAAGGAAAATGATTTGTTTGTTTTTTTTAGGATGGTCTAAATTCCTCTCTATACCCCCTCCCAAAGTTTATGAACCTTTAGTGAGGATGTTCTATGCCAATCTTCATTCTAGCAAGCCTGATAAGTTAGAATCCCTAGTTCTAAGAAAATGCATTGTCCTTGATTATGCCATGTTTGAGAATCCCTAATTCTAAGAAAATGCATTGTCCTTGATTATGCCATGTTTGATTCAATTTTTTAGTGTAAGTGCTCTGGATTTCTCATACTTTTCAAAAATACCTGGCCTGATGATTTTGAAATTTCTTTTGATCAAGCAAAATATTGTATAGCTTTGTGTCCATCTGATTTCTTCCTAACTAGTTAGGTCCCAGTGATGTTAGTTTCGAAATCCGAGATTTGGCCCACATTGTTGCAACTACCCTTCTTCCTCGTACTGGCTCATTTTTCACCTTCTCTCAACGAGATACCTTTCTTGTCTACTGTCTAGTGACCAAACTTAAGGTTAAACTGTCCTCATGGGTCATAAACTTCATGATTAAAAGTGTTGATGACCCTACCACTCTACCCTATGGTATGGTTATCACACAACTCTTGGAATCCCACAACATCTCTATCTCATAATACCCCATTTGTTTATGTTTAAAAATTCTACAACTCTAGAG